TTGAGAAAGAGTAAAAGGAATTAGACCAACACTATGTCATTTATAGTTCCAGACAGTGGGGTTCCCCCCCCCCCAGTTTGCACAGTGAACGTTATTACTTTTATAATCTTTTAAAAATATTTTCTTAAAGGGCTGTTTTCTACAGCAGTAAGTGCAGCTACATTTCTATGTTACTTTATTTATACTCTGCCTTAGCCACCGAGCCTTTCCTGACAGCAAAGAGGATTGTTGTGTAAGGAACAATAAAATACCACGGGAATGTTCTATTTAAGATATGGATATTTCTAATACAGAGTCTGGCCAACACCCAGAGAAAAATCGCGTGACATGTTATGAGGCGGAAAGTATCTTCGGATCACTTTCTGTTCTGGACGGGCCTGGTTTTCCTCCCCCTCTTCACCTTCTCCCCTCCGGCCCTCACCCCGATTGTAAACCCACTGGTGCGTGAGTGCGAAGTCCAAGTCTTAATGTAAAAGAAGTTTTATGAAATGATGTCATGAAACTCTTTGGTAAGTGATCCTGGCTTATGTTTCTCGACTCGCCGTGGTTAGCTTAGATGGCAGCCTGTGAATGAGAACTGCGACTTGGGCCCGACCTGTGGCGTGATCTTCATGGTGAGAAGTTCCCCGTCAGGCCGTGGTTGTTTGTCTCATGACTGTTGTTGGTAAAGTTATCCCCAAGGGGTTGAGAAATTCCTGTTTTGAAAAGTCCACAAAGTCTTTGGTGACTTACTGTTTCATTTTTCTTTTTCTTTTTTCTTCAGCTGTAGAAAATAGTATCACTTTTCCTTCATATGCTAACATTTACTGTCTTCTAAGCTAAATTCAGTAAACACCTTGAGAGAATTAAGCCCCGAGTCATACCCTGGGTGAGCGAGCCACCGTATGAAATGAACTGACCTCTCTCCTGTGCACGCAGAATGGTGCTCGGTGCTTAAATGGTTGTGCAGATCACTTTCTGTGTCCTGGGGTTTGGTGAAAGTGGTCATTAAATCACAGACTCAGAATTATTCCAGAGGTAGGAAATGCTTTAATTAGAATTTAATGGAGTTCTTTAGATTAACTCACCATTTGAAAAACGAGAAATGAGGTTGGGAAATAAATTGGCCTCTGTAAAATTTTTTTCCAGTAAAACAGTTACCACAAAGCTAGTTGGCACTGGTTTTCCTAGATAACTTGGCGAGATCGCTCAGATACGCTCTTCTTAGGAAGAGCATTGGGTCTGAGCGCACTGGGGCCCCTGTTGGTTAAACAGCGTTTGCAGCTAAGCAGCCAGTGTGGAGATCGCTATCTGGTGCTTTGCCCTCCAGCGACTACGCTGAGAAGGGGAACATAACATGAGTCATTGCGGCTGCTTGAATTTTTATGGAGAAAACTTACCTGGTTTCTGGTTTAAGAAACAGCACAGTTATGGTTCTATTTACTGAAATCCCAACTAAAATCCCAACAACGACAACGATGACATCCTCTGAGTTATGGACTAGAAATGACTTGGACAATCTTCGACAGTTTGTTGTTTGTTAATGGAACATTACTTTGAAAACGCCAGTATTCATGAATGACCCCAGTGTTCATCTGCAACTGATCTGGATTAAACGGATGTTACTTAATGGTTTTATCTGAGAGCGTCAGGGAACAGACTGTAATGGCTCTATGTCTGTATCAAAGATAAGCAACTGACAACACTGGAGTATATTTCGAAAAGTAGGTATCTATTTCTTTAAATCACTTTTTTAGAAGAACCACAGCTTTTTGCTTACGTAAGAGCAGCAGTGTTCAGTAAAAGTGGAATAGAAGTCATATGTGTAATGTTAAAGTTGCTAGTAGCTATAGTAAAAGAAGTAAAAAGAAATAAGTGAGATTCATTTTAATACTATATTTTAGTTTACCTAATATAGCCAAAATATCATTTCAGTACTAGTGAGATAGTTTACCTTTTGTCTTTTTTTACTAAATCTTCAAAACCCAGTGCGTATTTTACACTGAAAGCACACCTCAGTTTGAAGCAGCGGAATTTAAATGTCCAGGAGCCATACGGGGGGCAGAGACCACTGTACGGCAGGTCTGGAGTTTCAGTTCATTTGCATTGCAGTGGAATCAACATAAATTGGCCTAATATACAGCTTTCTATGCAAATCAGGTCCTGAGAAACGTAAGGCAGATACTGATGCTTTTAGCCTATGAGGCAGATTTTAACTTAGTTCTAATGCGAATATTTTTAAAAATATATTTTATTAATTATGCCATTACAGCTGTTCTATTCCCCCCTTCATTCCCCTCCACCCTGCATACCCCTCCCCCACCATTCCCCCCCTTTAGTTTATGAACGCGTGTCTCAAGTTCTTTAGATTCTATATTTCCCCTACCATTCTTGCCCTCCCCCTATCTATTTTCTACCTACCATTTATGCTACTTATTTTCTGTACCTTCTCCCCCCTTCTCCTCCTCCCACTCCCCTGTTGCTAACCCTCCATGTGATCTTTATTTCTATGGTTCTGCTCCTGATCTAGCTGTCCTTTTGTTTTAGGTGTGGTTGTTAATAACTGTGAGTTTGCTGTCCTTTCACTGTTCATCTTTTTTATCTTCTTTTTCTTAGGTAAGTCCCTTTAACATTTCATATCATAAGGGCTTGGTGATGATGAACTCCTTGAATTTGATCTTATCTGAGAAGCACTTTATCTGTCCTTCCATTCTAAATGAAAGCTTTGCTGGATAGAGCAATCTTGAATGTAGGTCTTTGGATTTCATGACTTGGAATACCTCTTTCCAGCCCCTTCTTGCCTGTATGGTCTCTTTTGAGAAATCTGCTGACAGTCTGATGGAAACTCCTTTGTAGGTGACTGTCCCCTGATCTCTTGCTGCTTCTAGGATTCTCTCCATTTTAATCTTGGCTAATATAACGATGATGTGCCTTGGTGTGTTCCTCCTTGGGTCCAACTTCTTTGGGACTCTTTGAGCTTCCTGGATTTCCTGGAAGTCTATTTCCTTTGCCAGATTGGGGAAGTTCTCCTTTATTATTTGTTCAAATAAGTTTTCCACTCATGGCTGTTCTTCTTCCCCTTCTGGTACCTCCCTATAATTCAGATGTTGGAGCATTTAAAGATGTCCTGAAGGTTCCTAAGCCTCTCCTCATTTTTTTGAATTCTTGTTTCTTCATCCTTTTCTTTCTGGTCATTTTTTTCCTCTTTCTGGTCCACTCCTTTGATTTGAGTCCCAGTTTCCTTTCCATTACTATTGGTTTCCTGTGTATTTTCCTTCATTTCAATTACTTTAGCCTTTATATGTTCCTCTAATTTGTGACTAAAATCAACCAGTTCTGTGAGCATCCTGATCACCAGTGTTTTGAACTGTGCATCTGAAAGTTTGGCTATTTCTTGTTCGCTTAGATTTATCGGCTCTGGGACTCTGAGTTGTTCCTGAGTCATGTTTTGATCTGTTCGTGTCTGTTACGTATGAGGAGCGGAGCTTTAGTTTTTCACCAGGGCAGGGCCACCCAGGTAGCTGGTTTGTGGTGCTGTATGTGGGGGCGGGGTCAGAGAGGGACAGTGGCGGTTCCCCCTGCCGCTTCCTGCCGCTGGGGCCTGTGCGGTCCATGTCACTGCTAGCTTCTTCACCGGTTTCTCTGTGCGTGAATGTGTGACCGCAATCAGTCCTCAGTGGGTCCACCCCCTTGCACCCTCAGTGGGTCCAGCGCCTTGTGCCCTCAGTGGGTTCTTCCGCTTCTCCACATTTGGGATCCGCCCACGGCTGCTGGCGCACCTGGGTCGTACTCCCGGGTGGGTCCCGTGGATCTTTCCTGCCCGACCCCGCTCTGCTGCTGGCTCTGCCCCTCTTACTGGTTTTGGCTGAAGTGTTCGTTGTTGTCAGACTTCCGTGTAGTTCAGTTTTCTGTGGTTTGGCTGCGTTTTTGTTGCTAAAACTTTGTTGTTTTTAAACCTAGTTGTGCAAGAAGGCGCAGTGCTTCCACCTACACCTCCATCTTGGCGGAAGTCCCTAATGCTAATATTGAAAGAGAGTTCCAGTGACCTTTGGTTTCTTGGTGAGGGTCATACACACCCTGGTGATAGAACGTCAGCATGTAGCAGGTAGTCTGCTCTGAGAAATAAGTGAATCAGGAGGTCCGGTTCCGTGTGTGTATTCAGTCTTTCATTAAATGTCCTCACTGTCCCAGAAAACCAGCTCTCTATACTTTGATGTGTATAGATACCTTAGTTTTTGACTATTACTCAGTTATTTTTACAACTTCTTAAGGCTACATGTTCAGTGTCGCTATTCAGAAAGAGAACTGAAGGTGGTTGGCGGGTTGGTTTCTCATACCTGAACATTTCCTTTGGGGTGGTCACTGACCTGAGGATAATATATATGCCTGGTATTTAGCTTCTCTTCTCTCTTCCCAGACTGAGAAATGTATAGGACAAAATTACTTTTTGTTGAGTGGGAGAATCCTAGGCAGATCCCTGCTTATACTCTTAAACCTGTAGTTTAGAGTTAGCCCTCTGTCTTCCCTGAACATCCACACCCCACGTGTTGGTCTTTGTTCAGGTTTACTCTGTGTACTTCCCAGGGCATTGAAAGAGCTGTATGGTGGAAAGAAAGGCTCTAACAGCTGTCGAGCATCTGTTGTAAGCTAAGCACAGAGCTGGGGCCTTAGAAATATCTCAGCAGCCTTACGGGATGGGAATTATGATCTCTTTTTACAGACAAGGAAGTGGAATTCTGGAAGTCATTTTTCAACTTCACATACCTCCAGTAGACAATTACAGACCTTGGCACCATGCCCACATTATCATCACCTTTCGAAGGAGCTGTGACATAGTTCCAGAAGTAGAGATTGTGATTGTGTGTGTGTTGCTCTGAGCTGGCAGAGACAAGCAGGATCCTTTCCAAAGCATCTCTTACCCCTAATCATGGACCTGACGCCTGTGTTGGGTAGACAGGGTGTTTCTGGATTGTTTACCCTGCTGGGGCTTGTGGTGACCATATGACCCCTTTGGTTTACAGTTGGGACCTCTGACTGCAGCAGGATGGCCCAATGGAATCAGCTACAGCAGCTCGACACACGGTACCTGGAGCAGCTTCATCAGCTGTACAGTGACAGCTTCCCGATGGAGCTGCGGCAGTTTCTGGCCCCTTGGATTGAGAGTCAAGACTGGTAAGTCCTTCCTGAGAAACTCCCCAAGTTGTTAGGTTTTGGCTTGCATCAGGAAGCATGATCTGTTCTAGCTTAACTGTGTGCCATTTCATTGAAAAACGTATGGGTACAGGTGACGGGGTGAAAGATCAGGAGATAAAGAGCTATTCTTGACCTTGTGTGAACATCTTCTATATTAGAAGCACACACATCGGACCACCTGCTTGCTAGTGGGTGTTTCTAGGACTGATTTGGATCTCACTAACTTGGTGAGATCCTCTGTGTGTTCTCTGATGCTCTGGAGATGTGCTACCAGTATTTATCTGGATGAGAATTCTGTCATGGGTTGAAGTTGGGTCCTTGCATATGATTTCCCTTTAATTAAAAGAAAGAGACAGAGTAAGAGAAATGGACTTGTTCATAGAGGAGATAATGGCACAGAATTCCAACAGCTGTTTCCTTCACTTCAGCATGTTCAGATTCAACTGTTAATTTTGGCTTAAATCAGGGCTATGACCTAGCTTTTCCAGAATTTGGTGAGGGCCAGGAAGGTGATTCAGAGCTATTGGAGATGGGCCGTCCTACTCTGGGATTGCTCATTTGCTACTAATAATCTGACCACAGAGTTGACTGAGAATTTAAAGGAAAACACCATGCAATATTCTGTATAGACTATGAGTGGCTAATAGTATCTAGAATAATTTTTATAGTGATTAAATTGCTGATCGGTATTGTTGCCAAGCAAGTTAAACGTAAAATGGTGAGTGGATTAAAGTATTGGGTTTGCCTTGCGTTTTATTTTTCCTCCTTCACCTGGGTTTTTTCCCCAGGGATGGTAACGTGGGTGTGTGTGTAGATTTCAGAGTCATTCTTTATCGTTCTTCCTTTTCCTAGGGCGTACGCGGCCAGCAAAGAGTCACACGCCACTCTGGTGTTCCACAACCTCTTGGGTGAGATTGACCAGCAGTACAGCCGCTTCCTGCAAGAGTCAAATGTTCTCTATCAGCACAATCTGCGGAGAATCAAGCAGTTCCTTCAGGTGTGATGAGAACCTGACCCAGCAGAGAAGGGTTTTAGCTTTCTCTCCTGGAAGTATTTCTTTTCTCATTTGAGAACCTATCTTGTACTTGAAATCAAAGAAGTAATTAGCCCTGTTACCAAATCTTTGTGTACTCACCCAAGGGCATCATTACCTGAAATTCACTTCTTCGGTCAGTTGAAGTAATAGTGATTATTATGTTAATATTACATTAACATGTTAATAACGTGATTGTAACCAGAGCCTCCCCTCACCGGAAGATGAGGCTGCTTACTTTTCATGTTAAAGGTTTGGCCGTAATTGGACGCAGCAGGACCTAAGCCCAGGGTAGCAGACTGGCCAAACCATCAGAGGAAGTGCCTTCTCTCGCAGCCCGACAGACCGCCGCCTTCCCTTCTCCCCTCGTCCCCCACTGATCGCAGCCAGGATTTGAGGCCTTTGTTTCCCTGTTTCATGTAGTAAATGTTACGCTCAATGTAGGAAGACTGTAGCTTTAAGCCAGCAAAATTCCCATCCACATCTCCTTAGTCTACCACTGCTTTTCACTCTCCTCCTGTTCTCCTTACAGAGCAGGTATCTGGAGAAGCCCATGGAGATTGCCCGGATCGTGGCCCGGTGCCTGTGGGAAGAGTCCCGCCTCCTGCAGACCGCAGCCACCGCAGCCCAGGTGAGACCCGGGCAGGAGATGCGCCGCCCTTCTCGCGTGCAAACATGTGCTCTCGTGTGGTCGTTAGGACGTCAGGACGCACGCAGCCCTCCGGGGCAGAAGTGGGTGTTAATGTGGGTGTTTGGGATTTTTGAATTTTGTACACTGAAAATCACTTAATTTTTTTCTGAATATATAATTTCTTCCCCTTAAAAAAATTAAAACATTGCAGAAAAAGTACAAGTAAGAAAGTTTCTTAAAAATTTGAAATGTCACTCATTCCCTCCATTATTTCTTCCCAAGAAACCAACATTAAGAGTCTGGTCTAAATCCTTTCACATCTTCCTCCATAAACTGTGCAAAACACACACACACACACACACACACAATTTAAATGGGCTTACTTTTCTTCATCTTGCTTTTTTCATTTAATGCAAATCCTTCTAAGTCAAGTAATATAAAGCGAACTAATTTTTTTATTTGCTGCTTCACCGTCTGGTGTGGAGCTGCCGAAACTCAGTCACCCCCTTCGATAGACATTCACTTCATTCTGTCGTTTTGTTATAAATGCTACTTGCAGTGTCCCTCTGTATAGATTCATGCTTTGATTTCTCTATGATAGATTTTTATAAAAGAAGTTTTAAACATTTTTTTTAAGGATCTTATTTATTTTTAGAGAGAGGGGAAGGGAGGGAGAGAGAGGGAGAGCAGCATCACCGTGAGAGAAAATCATTGATTGGTTGCCTCTTGTAAGCACCCCGACTGGGACTGAACCCACAGCCCAGGCATGTGCCCTGACCGGGAATCAAACTGGTGACCTTTCGCTTCACGGAATGGTGCCCAACCCACAGAGCCATGCCCGCGGGGACTCAGTGATGTGTTTTCAGAACGCAGCACGTGTGTGCGTGGTCTGTGGCGCTGTCATGTGGCAGCAGGTGTCTGTGCCGCAGCTCAGGTAGTAGCACTGAGAGGTATTCGTGACAGAGACTGAATGACCCACAGAGCCAAAAATGTCTGCCTCCTCGCTCGTAGAAAGTCTGCAGCCGCTGACCTGGGGCTGCCAGTGGACACCAGAGGCCTCAGCCCAGGCCTCTCTGTTATTTTCTCTGTGTCCGTCGCCTGGCATGTGCGCAAGTGTCTTTATGGGTGCAGCCCGAGGAGCTAGGAAGATGAGCAGACGTGACCCCTGCTGGCAGGCCTCTCGGTCGGGTGAGATTGTAGGCACACACACTCAATGTGAGAAAAACATGCAGGAGGACGTGAGTCATCCTGCCCAGGGAAGTCAAATAATGTCACCAGGAGAGCAAAAGTTGTACTGAGTTTGAAGGTGAAAGAGTTCAGGTGTGCTCCGGCGGCAGCACACGCCGGCTGAGTGGATGGTGTGTGGGGAAGCCATGTGAAAACACGGCGTGCGGGAAGGAGTGGGTGGTTCGGGCTGACTGACGTGCAGGGAGGGAAGGCTTCCGTGGTTATGAGAGTGTGTGAGACGGCCGTCTGTGCTGAGCTGGGGCGTTTACACCTGGAAGTGGCACTAGACAGCAGTTCACAAAGGAATCAGAGGTGCTGTTCTGCAGGTGACAGTGAATCACATCTGTTTCTCCTTTAAGTGCAGTACCAATCGAGAAACAGAATGGGAGTCAAATACAGATGAAAGTATCAGCCGTATTGTTGGTGGAACAAGACTGGAAAGCGTGGCGTGGGTGGGTAACCGTAGGCCTTTCTGACTCCTGGCCCCCGCAGTTAGATCTCGGGATGGAGACATTGGGTTTACAGAGCGGCTTTTCCCCAGCCATCCGCAGAGGCCTTCAGAGACCACAGACTCACAGAGATCGGTCTCCAGAACTGCTTCTAGAGACCAGGCCCTCACTCCTAGGAAGGCCAGGAGCAGGAGGAGACCTGCTCAATCTCGCCAATCAGATGAGTTGCCCCGTTTGAAGAAGTAGGGATGGAGGTGGCTTTCTCAAAACTTCTAAAGGGAGTCTGTATTCTGTGGGCTTGGGTAGGGACCATGGGAAAGGGAGAGAATGGCTCCCTGTGAAACTGGCATAGTTAGATCTGTTTTGGCGACTTCTGTTAGCAGTGTAGAGGCCTGATTGGAGGTGAAAGGATCAGAGGCACGAACATCAATCAGCAGCTGGGGTTGAAACGGAGGCAGTGGCACTAGAGATGGATTCGAGACTGCGGCACACAGAGTGGGAGCCTCTGGTGAGGCTGACGCCAAAGACAACCGGGGGCTTTGAACTTGGAGCACTGGGTGGACAGCGTCTGTCCTAGGCCCTCGGTCCCACGCCATCGACTGACATCTCTGGCCGGTGCCAGCGCTACACTGCCCTGAGCGCCGCAGCTGTTGTATGTGTGTGTGTGTTTTTTAAATCAGACAATATGCTGTTACTTTGACAAAAGTTATAACTTTCAAGTTTCATGTGCTACTTGGCCTTTTTAAGGTACCAGCCTCCCCTCCTACTCCAAGATACTGCCTCTTGATAATGGTATTTCACCACAGGACGAAATAATTCTTTATTATTCCACAGCAGTGTGCTGGACACTACGTGCATTTAAATAGGCATCCAAAGTCTGCTGTCCTAAGCTGTTGTGAAATTTTTAACATACTCACCTAGAATGAGCTTTCGGGAGGTGGGGACTTCAGCTCAACATGTCTCAGTTCAACATGTGGTCTCCTAGTGCAATCCACAGAGTAGGCCTACAGTATGACCTGGGGGTAGAAGGCCAAGGACGCAGGTGAGACGAGGTGAGAGCTTTTCTGGCGTCACACTGACAGCACCTGGAGGGCGCCAGCTGCCGCCTCTGTCTCCCTTTGTCTCCCGGTGGCAGCAGCCTCTCGAGCCAAACGGGAACGGGAGTGCCGTGGGACGGAGACTGGACGAGGTGTTTTTCTCCCCACGTCTCCTGCATTCACATGTGGCAACTCCCTTTTTGGCAGCAAGGGGGCCAGGCCAACCACCCCACAGCTGCCGTGGTGACGGAGAAGCAGCAGATGCTGGAGCAGCACCTGCAGGACGTCCGGAAGCGAGTACAGGTGAGGCGGGTCTGGGGAAAGGCCCCTTCTCCTGGGGGTATGGCCCGGGGGTTCTGCCTGTGTCTCTCTTTGAAGTTTTGGCTCCACTTTTCTCACAGCCTTTCTTTTCCGTCTCCCCAACAAGGAGCTGTTTTCTACCTCCATTCACGTTTGTTTTCACAGGATCTAGAACAGAAAATGAAAGTGGTAGAGAACCTCCAGGATGACTTTGATTTCAACTATAAAACCCTCAAGAGTCAAGGAGGCAAGTGAATCTTAGAGACGTTAGAAATCTCCTGTAGAAAGTGAGTTTGTGTTACCTGAGTTTCAGGAATTACTTGTCTCGACTCTGCGCTCAGACCCGCTTTTTGGGGGTGGGCGTTCTTAGGGGCTACTGTTGCCTAAGGGAGCCTGCTTACCAAGGGTAGGAGTGTTCCCTCCAGCCAAGAAGTTTTTCCTTCTGCTGCAGACATGCAGGATCTGAATGGGAACAACCAGTCAGTGACCAGGCAGAAGATGCAGCAACTAGAACAGATGCTGACTGCGCTGGACCAGATGCGGCGGGTACGCCCTGGGGCCGCCCCCGCCGCAGGCCACCTCCCTGGGGTGTCTGCATCTCCGGGCAGAACCGGCCTTGTTCCTAAGTTCCTCCCCTGGAATTTGACCGCAGCCTGTGGTTAGAGACGTTCTGAGGAAGTGTTTTCTGACTTTGTTTTGGTTTCCAACCAGAGCATTGTGAGTGAGCTGGCGGGGCTTTTGTCAGCCATGGAGTACGTGCAGAAAACTCTCACGGATGAGGAGCTGGCTGACTGGAAGAGGCGGCAACAGATCGCTTGCATTGGAGGCCCTCCCAACATCTGCCTAGATCGGCTAGAAAACTGGTAAGGGCTGAAAGAGAAGTTTTGCCTCTCTTTCTAGAAAGCTGGGCTGAATTATGGCCATAACTGCCGGTCCCAAGCGTTGGGGCCTATATCTCAAAGGTGGGGGCTGTTCTAAGGCAGATACAGCTCTAAGAGTTAACACTTTCACTTTATTTGGATGTTAAAAAAAACAAAGATATATTTATATTAGTATATTTTAAGTCTGTTTTATAACTTGACGTTTTTGGCTTAACTGTATTTAACAGACTAAATTAATAATCTAAAATGACACATGCTCTTTATAAAGGGAAAAAAGTTCAAATCCAGAGAATTAATAAAGAGAAGAAAAGTCTTCTCAAACAGAATTACCCAGAAGCACCTACAGCTAAGATTGTGGTGACCAGCACTCGAGACAGCTACTGTGGTAGATACGCATATAGAGATAGAAATCCAGACATTTTCACGTGAGTGGGATTGCTCTTTATACGCCCTTCCGTGACCCGCTCTCTTACCATTCGGCCAGCATGGCCCCGTGAGCACCCTTGATGTGCGAGGCCCGGGAAGGAACGGCTGCACCAGCTGAAAGGCAGTAGGAGAAAGTTGACGTCATGGAAAACCCAGATTCGCAGAGCATGGAACTGGAAATGCAGGGCAACTCTGTGTGAGAATGCCTTGCTAACCCTGAGTTTTGTTAACTTACTGAAGGCAGTTTTAAATGTTTTCTGATCAGAGAACCAAAAAGCTTAAGTTCTAGGAATGGGGGGATGAATGGAAGTGCCAGAGAGGAGCCAGGGAGCTCAGAAGTCCTGTCAGCTGTCCCGCCCCCCCCCCAGTGCCCCCCCCCCCCCCCCGCATCTTCTGTCTCCTCCGTCTGAGGTCGTTTAGTCTTCATTGAGCTAGTGGTAGGCCATCGAGGAGAGACACTAGTATTTCCTATTCTTGGGGACAGGCTTAACCAGCCTTTGTCTCCCTGTCCTCTTTTCTTGTGTGCATTCTGTCACCCTTTTGAAACATAAAGTCATATCCTTTGATCCATCGAAAGTTGATGTTGAAGGGCTCGGGGATCATGCAGTTCAAGACCTTCTCTCATGCAAGGGGACATCAAGCCCCACAATGGTGAAGGGACTTGGCCCAGGGTTGCACAGGTAGTGAATAGCAGAGCTAACTCAGACCCATCTTCTTGGGTTGTCTTACCTCCCGTCTCCCTGGTCCTCACATTTTGGTACAAGGATAAGTTAGGTTCTCCACGTGTGGGTTCTATGGCTTGTCACTTTCCAACGGTAACTCCTGAGCACCTCCTATGGAAACTCTTAAATATGGTAGCAGAGGTTTTGACACTTCTTCTTTTGTGCCCAGCTACCTCTTTGAAATGTAAAATTTTAGGAAGGGACTATTTTAAAAAGGCAAAGGAATTTATAAATTCCCCCTTTTTTATTGAATGCAGAGTAAATTCCCCCTTTTCTTATTTAGTTGAATTGTATGCCTACAGATGGTAAATGTTAGGTTATGCATATTTTACGACAATAAGAAAAGCCCCCCTTTCTTATTTAGAGGACTGCAGCGTGGTGCTTACGGCTGGGGTATTCCCTTCTTCCCCACCTCACGTACCCGTGTACCCTCCCTTCGGTAACTGGTAACTTCCTTATTTAATGGCAGGATAACCTCATTAGCAGAATCTCAACTTCAGACCCGCCAACAAATTAAGAAACTGGAGGAGCTGCAGCAGAAAGTGTCCTACAAAGGGGACCCTATCGTGCAGCACCGGCCCATGCTGGAGGAGAGGATCGTGGAGCTCTTCAGGAACTTAATGAAAAGGTAACTTAGAATCCTTGTCCCTCCCCCCATCACTGTCGCCCGCCCCCAATCGCATCCTTAACCCAGAGACGGGCTCCCTTCAGCCGCACAGGATGAAGGCTGGCCCCCCACTGCGCAGTGAGTGAACTGCTGTCCGCTCTCCCTTTCAGTGCCTTTGTGGTTGAGCGGCAGCCCTGCATGCCCATGCACCCCGACCGGCCTCTGGTCATCAAGACCGGCGTCCAGTTTACGACCAAAGTCAGGTGGGCCATGGACTTCCACTTTTGGTAGCTGGTTTATGGAGGGACGTTCTTCGGACGAAAGCACAGTCGGAGGCCAGGGCTGTTCTTCGCAGGCATCTCAGGCAGCACCGAGGCGGGTGTGGAATTCGCTGGCGTAATATGAACTCGATTTTTGTTTCCTCCGCCAAAAGCTAAGGAAGAGTCATCTTTTTGAGGTTACCAGGCCATGTCGTATAACGTCAGTCCTGGAGTCTGGGAACACAGTGTTTCCTTCTGCCCCTCGAAGGGGGCAGAATAATGCCAGTCGTTTTCTGGACTTGGAGCCTGCTTCTCCCCGGGTATTTTCAGGGAGGGAGTAAGGCTTAGTGGTGTAGAGCTAAGGGGCACCGCAGGGCAAGTGGGTGGTGGGCCTGCGGTGGCGCGTTACTTTCACACTCGAGTCAGACAGGTGTGCTGGGGTTTGCCCTCCTGCGGTGGAACTTCCCACTCAGAAACTCGGTGTGGTGTTAGGTTTCAGGTTTAATGGAAAGAAAAGCAGCTGCAGAGCACGTATGACTGTAATGGCTTTTATTATCCTTTGCTGAATCTCTCACAACTTTGTCCAAGTTCTTACTTCTTAGGCTTTTTTTTTTTCAGTACCTTTGGCCTAAAGGGAGGATGCTTCACTTAACATCAAAGACAGTACTGGCAGAAAGAGGAATTCGGGGTTGTCATTATTCACCTCTTAAAAATGAAGAGTTATAAATTTTATGTTTCTTTAGCTAGACGTTGTTAGGGGAACCTTATGATGTTTTGTTTTGTTTCTAAACTAGATTGTTTTTTTTCTTTGCTCAGAAATTTTTCTTCTCTTTTTGGTAATAGATTGCTGGTCAAATTCCCTGAGTTAAATTATCAGCTTAAAATCAAAGTGTGCATTGACAAGTAAGTACCCTTTACCTTAGCCCTTTTTCCTTTTTTTTCAAGTGACAAATGAGAGCTTTGACAATCATCATATGAACTTCAGAGACTTTCTCTCCCTTTAGAGATCTCTGTTTCTTTGAACAAAAGTTCTCATCAGACTTACAGTGCGCTGTCATTTACGCGCCTGAATAGAACCAGAGTTAGTGGTGCCGATGTGAGCTGTGATTGTTGTGGTGACTTTGAGTCCTTCCTTTTCTTTCATTTTTTATTTATAAATGTAATTTATACATATTATATAAAACTGAATATGAGGAAAATGGATGTTTTAAATTGTTCTACACTTCACCATGATAGAATAATTTTCAGAATTTGACAATACCTTTCAAATATTAAAATACACATAGCTCTTTTTTATTTAAAGATTTTATTTATTTTTAGATAGAGGGGAATTGGAGGGAGAGAAACATCAATGTGTGGTTGTCTCTTGTGCGCCCCCGCTTGGGGACCAGTTCTGCAACCCAGGCATGTGCCCTGACTGGGAATCAAACCAGTGACCTTTTGGTTCAAAGGCCAGCACTCAATCCACTGAGCTACACCAGCCAGGGCAAAATACATATAGCTTTTCAAAAAATATTTATTTATTTTTTTTAGAAAGAGGGGAAGGGAGGGAGAAAGAAAGGGAGAGTAACATTGGAGATACATCGATAAATATACCCCCACATGGGGCCCTGGCCTGTAAGCCTGGCTTGTATTCTGACTGGGAATTGAACCAGAACCTTTTGGTTCACAGGCCGACACTCAACCCATTGAGCCACACCAGCCAGGGCTAGTATATAGCTATTAAAGAGATTAGAAAACAGAAAATGGCCCTGGCAGGGTAGCCCAGGTGGTTAGAGCATTGTCCTGATATACCAAGATTGCAGGTTCAATTCCTGGTCAGGGCAAATGCAAGAATCAACCAATGATAGCATAAATAAGTAGAACAACAAATTGATTTTTTTCTCTCTTTTCCTCTGTCCCTAAAATTAATAGAAAAATAAAAGAGAAATATATTCATTGTACTTTTATTTTCACATAATTATTTATTTGGAAATTATACTAGAATAAACTGGAAAGTAATTACTAATGAAATAAGGGACTTGAGGAAGGTGGTAGGTTTCATAAATAAATAAATAAATAAGCAAAAATCAATAGCTTCAACCATATGTTAGTATTAACCTATCTTATGTTAGAAATATAATAGGAAAATGATCTCACAATAAGCAAAAAAAGTAAAAATGTATTGTGATCAGCTTAACAGAAACGTGTAAAGTCTGTTTGAGGAAGACATTTCAGTGAGGAAGGGAGAGTGTAAAAATGGAGACAAATAAGCAATTAATGATACCTCACAACTTGATATTGTGGAATTAGAGAAGTTAGTTTTACTGTCCATGAGAATAAATTCCAGGTGTATTTATGTGTTTAAAGAAAAGTATCTTAAAAGTAGGCAGGTGTATAAGTAATGGTGGCGAAATGGCCACATGGTAAAACCACTCTGGGAAACAGTCTGGCAGTTTCCTAAACCGTAAACGTGCACCTCCCTGCGTCCCAAACTTTCCGCTCCGAGGTGTTAACACAGAGAAATGAAAGCGCACGGGCACATGTGGGGGCTGTGAACAAATGTCCATTTGTAGGTCGATGTCTGTGCACAGGCGAACGAATAAACCGGTCTGTGGTGTATCCGCAGAACGGAGTGTTGCTCACACACAGAAGGGAACGGACTGTTGGGACACGTGAATAAATCTCAGAAAAATTATGCTGAGTGGAAGCATCTGGAAGAAATACAAAGTACATAGGATATATTTCCATTTATGCAAAATTCTAGACATGCAAATGAATCTGTAGTGGCTGAAAGCAGATCAGCCGTTGCCGAGGAAGGGGGTGGGGTGGGGTGGGGTGGGGGGGTGGGAAGTAGAGCGCAGACAGGTGCGGGGAAACCGAAAATGGCAGGTGTGCTCCTTATCTCGGTGGGGCTGATGTTTCGACAGGTGTACATCGTATATATGCATCTATCAAACCGTATCAAATTGGGCATTTTAAATGGCACAGTTTATTGTTCATCAATTACACATCGAAGCTATAATACAAAAGGAATGTTTTTTTAAAAAAAGAAAGGTAGGTTAGACATAGGGAGACTATGATGATGAAGACTCTGAAGTTCTAAAATGGGATATATGGAAATATATCTTCTGAGTGGTTTAAAAACTGATCAGTATTTATTTGTAAACACACTTGGAATACACTGTTTAATAAATAGTAACTATTTTTAATCCTAAAAAAGTAAGAGAATATGTAGCAATGGAGACTTTCAAAACAGTATAAAATAATAAAAAGAAGGAAAAGACCAAGAAATGTGACTATTTAAAAAGACTACATATTAAAAACACAGAGTTAAAGAGCAATGGACACACAGGGAATAATAGTATATCAACCGGGACCATCTGGGTGGCAGGTAACAGTGAACCCTCACAGCAGATCCAGGGGAAGGTACACAGTAAGGAAGTCTGCCCCCCAGCGTAACCGGAAATGCAGAGTTAGGCCGGCTTCCTGACAGTGAGATTAGTGACTCACTGACAGCATCAAGGACCCAGAACCTCCTGTCTCTTCTCTGTCATCATAGTGTCTCCTGCTTTCCAAGGTCCCCTTCTGGGTTGCAACACGATTGCTTGTGACAAAGGCCACACGCTTCCTTGCTCATGTTCAGCTGAAGCTCAGGAATGTGTTAGTTAATCCGGCCTGGGGTACAGTTCCTTCTGAGTCTAACTGAGACTGTGTAGGTCACGTCCTCACCCCCCTGGACCTCTGCACTGTGGGCATGCAGTGCTCTGATGGACATGATGAGCAGCGTCCAAGTTCAGTTAGGAAGAGGGCAGCAGGTGTCGGGTAGGCGACCAGCTGTGTCTACTGCGTGAGCATGCACAGGGTTGTTATATTTCACACGTATGATGTAATTGAGTAGCGTATCGAAATTCCCAGCAGCACAGCCATTTTCTATCAGAGTAAATTACTGGGGTTGAAAGTAGATTTTTCTGAAGAAACCCAGGGACTGTCTTATTAACACGGGTTTGTGTTCTCAACAGGGACTCGGGGGATGTAGCCGCTCTCAGAGGGTGAGTTCAGCCTAGAGGCTTCCTTCCGTTCTGTTCGGTCTAACTTCGTCCTCCGGCCCCCCAGTCACTTACGTGGTGGGTTTTTCTCCTGTGATTCAGATCCCGGAAATTTAACATTCTGGGCACAAACACGAAAGTCATGAACATGGAGGAATCCAACAACGGCAGCCTCTCTGCAGAATTCAAACACTTGGTATGCTGGGGAAACCTGCACCCCCATCTCTGTGGGCCCCTGGCAGAGGGAAAGGGGAGGGGCGAGAGCCTCACGTGACAGGGATGCCCTTTGCTTTCCTTACAGACCCTGAGAGAGCAAAGATGTGGCAACGGGGGCCGAGCCAACTGTGACGTGAGTTTTACTGGGGGCGGAGGCCAGCCTGGAGGGTTCTCTCCGAGGGGGAGAGAAAAAGGGCCTAGAATTACAGCCGCCACCCAGCAGTTTCAGCTGCAGTCATTCAGAAAAGTCACCGTGGACCAAAACGACACGATCAGAAGTCCCATCTGCCCTGGGTTCTCAGGCTTGGAGATCAATTTCCTCGATCGCCCCAGGAGTCAGATCTTGGAGCAGTAGGAGTGGAAAGTACCCCTGCGTGCTACCCACACCCATTTAGTGACACGGGGGCCTGCTGCTGGCCGGGGCTTTCCAAATTCCTCTTCCAGTGCCTGCCAGCTGGCACCACTTGGCTCCATTTTTTTATGACATTTTTCTCACTGAGGTGGGATAGAAGGATGTAACGAATCCGAGCTAAAACAGTTTTAAAAAGAAAAAGAGCAAAACCTATCTGTTGTTTATCCCCCTTATTTTTTCTCTGCCTCCCACTGATTCAGATTATTGGATTCTCCGTGTCAAGAATAAACTTTAAGAAAAATAGGCAAATGTAACCAAAAACTAGTTTTTAATCTTTTAAGAAAAATTGTGACACCCTGCTCTTTTTCTGGTATTTGTCTCTGAGCCATTTTTTTTCTCTCTTCTCTAAAATGTAGCCGGTCTTAAAAAACAACAAATTAGATTTATAATGCTTGACAGTAAAGAGTGAAGTAGTTTATGTTCAGTGATATGTTAAAATGTATATGGCATTGTTTGTTTGGAAAAAAGCAAGATGCAAAATAATCCAAGTAGTATATTAGTATATTCCTTTAAAAATATACTACACTGCTTTTTGTATATTCGTGTGTGCATTAAAAAATTCTAGAGGCATGGACAAGAACTAGAGGGGTGGAAATGGGAGCGAGGTGGGGAGGTCTGGGTGGGTGGGCTGGGATGGGAGTAAAAGACAGAAAACTGTAATTGAACAACAATTAAAAATTTAAAAAAAAATTCTAGAGGATGCTCTGGCTAGTGTGGCTCAAAGGATTGAGCACTGGCCTGCGAACCAAAGGGTCGCTGGTTGATTCCCAGTCAGGGCACATGCCTGGGTTGTGGGCCAGGTCCCCAGTAGGGGGCGCTCGAGAGGCAGCCACACATTAACCTTTCTCTTCTCCTTTCTCCCTCCCTTCCCCCTGTGTAAAAATAAATAAATAAAATCTTTTAAAAAAATTCTGCAGATCTATACACCAGGCAGCGCTTATGAATTTGTGCTGCTGTTAGTATTGGAGGCTACTCTATACTGTCTCTGTATTATTTGCATTTTAAACTGAACACATATTACCTTTAAAATCAGAAAAAGAATATTTTAAAAATGAATTGAAATTTCCACTTTTCGAAATTCATTGGTAACTCTTGTTTGAAACAAGGCTGCCGCTGACAGTGGGAGTACAGATCGTTAGGGCTGCAGCGGAGAACCATGTGTCCTTAGAAAACGGACACACCGTATACGTCAGCAGGGCCACTCCTGGAAGTTAGCAATAGGGAAAGCGTTGCACGTGTGTCCCAGGAGACATGTGCAGAATGTCACAGTGGCATGATGACAAGCCCTAAACACGTCACATGAATACTCGCCTACGCCAGGACGGGTCAGCGATCTCTGGTGTAGCCACGTGATAGGACACCACACAGCAGTGGAAATGAGTAGGATCCCTGACACACACCCACACAGATGCGAAAAGGGAGTCACCAAAGAATGCATGGCGTGTGATTCCGTGTGTATAAGGGTCACAGCATCTAAAATAAACTATGTATACTGTTTAGAGATATAGTTATGGTGAAGCCATAATTATAAAGCTAGGAAATGATAAACCCAAAAAGATAAAGTAGCAGTTACACCTGAATGAGGAGGGCAGGGAACAGATTAAGGAAAGACCCAGAGGATCTCAGTGGTAATGGTCTCTTCCTTAAACTAGGTGGCAGGTGCACAGCGTCCATCATTTTGTTTCTCTCTGCACCTCGCCCATCTTACAAGTGACCGGTCGGCTCTGTAATATTATAAAACCCAGTGAGAGATCAGGGTGAGAGCTGTCACACTGGCGAGTCCTGGTGTTGACGGGCGCATATGGGGGCCCGGGCCCTGGCGGTTTGCTTGTGGCCACCCAGTGGGTTACCCTCGTTCGTGCAGCGTGGCTGTGGTATGTTACTCTGCTCCCCAACGCTGTCAGTCCTGAATGCCGTTCTCCGTGCCGTAGGCCTCCCTGATTGTGACTGAGGAGCTGCACCTGATCACCTTTGAGACTGAGGTATATCACCAAGGCCTCAAGATAGACCTAGAGGTGAGTCCTGAGGCAGAATGGGGATGTCGCCATATGCGAGGGTCAGGACAAGACCTTCTGGGTGGGGTTTTACTGCAGAAGGGGGATGATGACTCTGTGTAAGGCACTGTGTTTGTTTTTTGCTTGTTTTTCTAAAAAAAACCCTTTAATACCCCATTCGAAAGTGCAGTTCTGCCTGAGTGCTTAGAAGACACATGTATACTCAGCTGTAAGCAAACTTGATACGAAGGTCTGTATTTAGAAATTGATGGTAGCTAATTTCTAAAGTTTGGGCAAAATATAGTTAAATAGCTAGTGTTTTTAGCACACAGAAAATTGTGGCCTTTGCATTTTCCTCTCCCGATGTTCTTGATCTTTAAATTAAAGATACGCCTGAAACAGCAGGGACCCTAGTCTTTGATTTCTGGAGCCTCTCCGCTCACCGGGCAGACACGGCTCCTGTTCGGGGAGGACCCGTGGCCCGTGAGTCCAGCTCTGAGCCAGTCAGGCTTTACCCACCCCCGGCTGCAAGCAGACCACAGCCCGAGTCCTTGGCCCGTGCTCAGCACCCTCCCGCCTCTGGTGGCAGTGGTGGTGGCTCACAGCACGGCCTTTGGCTCCAAACCCCAGAGACACCGGTGGAGAGATTCTTGGAGCCGAGAGGGCCATCTTTCTCACCCACTCATCTCCCGCCCACCCCACAGACCCACTCCCTGCCCGTGGTGGTGATTTCCAACATCTGCCAGATGCCAAATGCCTGGGCGTCCATCCTGTGGTACAACATGCTGACCAACAACCCCAAGGTCAGCGCCGTGTCCTCTGGGGGGAAACCTGCCTTCTCCCCCCCCAGCTCCTTGCTGCCCGGAGGCTGTTGTGTGGCCTTGAGCAGGCCCCGCCAGCGCTGCCCTCTCATCTAAGTGAGCAAATGTGTCGTTTTCGCCAGAATGTGAACTTTTTCACGAAGCCCCCCATCGGAACCTGGGATCAGGTGGCCGAGGTGCTGAGCTGGCAGTTCTCTTCCACCACGAAGCGAGGGCTGAGCATCGAGCAGTTGACCACGCTGGCAGAGAAACTCCTAGGTCAGCACTTCACCTCCTTTCCCTCCTACACTCCTCAGAAAAGGGGCCCGTCTGTGGGGCCCTTCATTTAAGAAAGGTGACTGAGCAAGGCTCCTGGTCGGGGCCAAGGGTGCAGGCCCCGCAGGGGGAGCTGGGTGTGGAGGAAGTTGGCCTCCTGGTGATCATTCTTACCAGCTGGGTGGCAGATGTCTTTTCCCTTGGTGGCGTCTCCGTCACCCTCCCTGGGCCCTACTTTGTCTAATCTCAGGATGATACACGAAGCGCGTGCTAGAGGGTAGAGCTACAGGCCTCGCGTCCCTGTCCTTTTCTTCAATAAACTGGTTTGTTTTTCATTTTTTTTCCTGGAAAAAATTTTAGTAGAATATTTTATGTGCTCCCTGGACTGTGAGTAGCTTTGTCCTGTGCTGTCACCAAATGTGACCCTTTAATACCAGCTATCGCCTTATTAGTGTGTGGGTGCGTGTGCTCGCTTGTGTAAGCACACGTGTGCATGTGGGCACCTGGTGGCCACCTTCAAATACAGGAAAACCGGTGGTTTCATGGCCCATTGAGACAAATGTATGTGAGTATTGTTCTGTTTCAAGAAATAAGATCTTCATTCAAAGCCGGAAATTACACTGCTTTATTCTTTTTTCCTTCAGGACCTGGTGTGAACTATTCAGGGTGTCAGATCACGTGGGCTAAGTTTTGCAAAGTAAGCAATCTTGTCAGCTCCTTGCCATCACATCTTGGGAGCAGGTGTGGGAGGTGGTGCTTACCTGTAGGGTTGTCACGGAGGGCACTGGGCACAAAGGTCCCAGACTCGTAGTCTAGCGGCCAGTAGGCCCCACCTGGGGACAGCCAGGCCCGAGGGTGTTGGTGGCACTGAGCCCCGAGGAAGGAAGAGGCTAGGGCGGTGGTGGACTTGACTTTCCATTGTTCTTTTCCCCAGGAAAACATGGCTGGCAAAGGCTTCTCCTTCTGGGTCTGGCTGGACAATATCATCGATCTGGTGAAAAAGTACATTCTGGCCCTTTGGAACGAAGGGTAGGTTGACACTCTGGTGTCTGGCAGCTTGCAGAGGTGTGATGAGTCACCTGCCCTCTTGGCAGGCCTGGGGCTGGGACCCCTTCCATCCAAACCTACTTGCTGTTTCTCTTCGGCTCCAGGTACATAATGGGCTTTATCAGCAAGGAACGGGAGAGGGCCATCTTGAGCACCAAGCCCCCAGGCACCTTCCTGCTAAGATTCAGTGAAAGCAGCAAGGAAGGAGGCGTCACCTTCACTTGGGTAGAGAAGGACATCAGTGGTAAGCTTGGCTGCTCCCCCCACTCCTTTGCTGTTGCTAGTTCCAAGCACCCACTGCCCTCTAGTGGGCAGAGGTGGCCTTGCACCTCCTGCCTGAGGCTTGCAAAATTTAGGGGTGACTTCTTTTCTCAAAATTCTCCCTGCGGAAGGATTAGTTTTCCAATTTTGTTTTGCTCGCTCCAGGGGCTAATATTTGCCTAAAAATTTGCAATTTAAGTTTTAGTCTTCATCTCCTTTCTTACCTATCCTGTTCCTGTATGTTATGCAAGTTGTTGTTTAAGTGTATTACCTGTGGCCCAGCCGGGTAGCCTCTCCAGAAGCCTGGCGAACATGTTCGCAGTGCCAGGAGGCTGGGCAGGATGCCCGGGGTGCCCGGCCGCAGGGTGGCATCATTCCCCCTCCCGTACCCCACCCCCCGCAGGGAAGACCCAGATCCAGTCGGTGGAGCCGTACACCAAGCAGCAGCTGAACAACATGTCGTTCGCGGAAATCATCATGGGCTACAAGATCATGGATGCCACCAACATCCTGGTGTCGCCCCTGGTCTACCTCTACCCTGACATTCCTAAGGAAGAGGCGTTCGGAAAGTACTGTCGGCCAGAGAGCCAGGAGCACCCCGAGGCCGACACAGGTAGTTGTTGATTTTCCACGTCAGGCCCTTCTGGGGAGAAGGGGGAGGCTGTAGGGTCCTTGGAGAACGGACAGGTGAGTGCCTGCAGACCCAGTGACCAGAATTCCTCTTTATGGGAAGGCACTTTGCAGAGGAGAGGACTCAGAGTCACCAGTCTGTACCCCCCCAGGCAGCATCTCCACCCCCCAGACACACCCGAGACGCTGCAAAGAGAAAGCAAGGGTAGAATTCTTCAGTAATAGGTGCCCAGGCAGCAGAGCGCGCCTCACCTAGCAGGTGCTGGGAGGCTTGTGACCCAGACCTCAGTCTGGCGCACTTCCTTTTCCCCGTCACTGGGCGCCGTCAGCAGCCTTGAGTGGGACGGAGAAAGGCGCCCTGGAGGAAATGAGTGTTCGCAGCAGCAGCTCCGAGAGCGGAGTCAGGAGGGCGGTGATTGAAGGGCTGGATGGTAACCAGTGGGAGGGCTGTGCAATGCGGTATGCAGACTGTGCAGCTGTTGAACAGGAGATATTTTTAATGCGTCCGTGTAAGTTGTATGCGAGTAGCTGAGTATTGAACCTGTAACCTGAAGGAGCACTGCCTTCAGCGTGGAGGGGCGGAGCCCTTCTGGCCTGGTCCCACCTGTGTTCCTGCTTTCGACTCTCCGGGTTCCCTGATGAGGAATCTGTGATTTGCCATTTTTGTTTGTATTTAACTTTTCTTAATCACGCAGCCAACAGTGGTTTAACGTGACCCCGTGAGGTTACCTTCCCTGCCCCGGCTGGTGTGGAAAAGACGGTGTTTGTGCCGAGAGCTCGCACACGAACTCCCCAGCTTCGCTCCTGCTTTCTCGTAGGGATTCCCTCTGGAGAACTTCTCGGGGTGGGAAGAGGAGGAAGTGGAAGAGGGAATTTGAGCTAGTCGACAGTTGGCTTTCCTTTCCCCTTGTTCTGGTTTTGAGTTTTGTTCACATTCTAGAAGAGTTTAGCTCTCACTTCCTGTCTGCCACTTATCTCTCTTTCCATGCTGTGCTTCGGTTGGGAGGTGTGTTTATCAGCCCTCGTCACGCTGCTCTTTGTTCCTCCTGCAGAGGACACTCAGGTCCATGTGCTGGTCCTCCAACTAATTAAGTTTTCAGGGTCCAAGTCCCCAGTCCGAGGCTGTGTCCTCTGCAACCATCTGCCCCTCCTGTGTGCCAGGCAGGCACCAGCCTTTCCTGCCTGGAAACATCGGTGTTTCCTGAGGGGCAAAATGCCTGTCATGAAACAGGAACGAGTGATTTGAGGGCTTCGCCTGCCCCTGGGGAGGCGGGTGTGGGCTGAGTGCAGAGAGGGGCTCAGCACGGTGAGCCCGGAGCCTGGGGGTGGGGTAGGCGGGGCACGCAGGGGTGGCAGCGTGTGCCTGGAGCCCTGTATTAACACGGGGGTCCCCAGGCAGGTGGGCCTGTGACTGTTTCCTTTCTCCCCCCGTCACAAAGTGTTACTGTCTCCCTCTGAGGGAGGTAGGTGGTTTTCCAGGACTCTTCCTTCCTCCTTGCTCCTCCGTAAGCCCACAAAGTCCCTCCTTGTGGTTTGGGGAGAGAGACCCCTCTTAGAAACGACAGATCCCTACCGTACACACTGGACAGAGCACGCGCGTAACCTTGAATGGAGCCATAAATCAGCTTAGTCCCAGCCCTCCCGGGCTTGAGCTGCCCCTTCCCAGGCTGAAGCTGCTTTCTCGGCTGCCTCGGTCACAGGGTTAGACCCTCTCTGTCTGGGGCTCAGCTACCCAGAGGCCTGGGCCAGATGGGGCTCCGGGACACCAGCACCCGCCTCCGTGGCCTGTGTGGGGCTGCACTGCCCGAATCTACTTCACAGCCAAAAATCGAACTTAGGGGCAGGGACCTGAGGGCCCCTTGGCTGTGTGTTTTCTCAGACGGTCGTCATCCGTCCCGATCCCTCAGTTTCTACAGAAGCCTCTCGCTTTGTAAATGTGCCTCTCTCCACCCACCTCACTGCACCCCGTGCCCCAAGTTTTGTGCCAGTATCTCCAAGCTTCCCTGGCCTCTCGGTGTAAGCACGGAGCACTGAAAATGCATTTCTTCCAATTTTCACACGTCTCATTACAGGACAAGGGTTATAAATGACGGAAATGGGCGCCCCCTCTCTTCCCGGTCCCATCTATTGTGTACATGAGGGGCGAAGCGTCCAGCCCCAGGTTCTGGGCTCCTGTCTTCCAGTCCAGAGTCCACAAACATCCCCCTGTGACAGAGGCTGCTTTCTGTGTGACATGGTTACCCAGCGGGAGAGTTGCTGACACCCTTGCCTAAAAACATAGTAGAGGCAGATTAGTGCCAGTGGGAATGGAAGGTGTGACCCTTGGCTGTGGAACCACGCGCATTAGAGGCTTCGTGTCCCCTGAGAGGCCTGGTGGCGCTGGTACCCGAACAGGGTGCCCAGGCCACAGAGCTCTGCCCCTGCGTGCGGAGAAGCATCTGAGCCAGACGGCCGGGCCAGCAACTGCCCCCAGACACACCCCCGCAGTCAGGTGTCGGCACGGTCCGGGCACAGGTCGGTGAGGGTGTGCTGTGCAGTCCTGCGGCTAAGGAAAGCTCTACCGAGAGAATTGAGCTTCCTTCCAAGCTGCACGTGCCTCACACATCGAACAGTGCACAGTGAGGAGGGGCAGCCTCGGAGCGGTCCCTGCTCGCAGACAGAGTGAGTTTCCAGGCAGCCTGGCGAGGCAGCCGGCTTCCTCCCGCCGGGCACCAGAATGGGGTCCCGACGAGTAAGCCCCTGTTTTCCTCCTCCCAGGTGCCGCCCCCTACCTGAAGACCAAGTTTATCTGCGTGACACCGTAAGTGGCTTCCTTTCCCAATTTCACCTTCATTTCTAATGTCCTCAGTTCCCCCTGGGGTGGGACGCTGGGCACGAGTTACCCCACAAAGGGTTGGAAGGCCCTGGGCTGTGTTTAGTACTCCAAGTGACCTGGTGTGTTTAAGAAGTTTGAGCTTTTATTTTTCCGTTGGAGACCAGAGTTTGATGGCTTGTGTGTGTGTGTTTTGTTCTTTTTTTCTTCTTTTTTTTTTTTTTTACCCACTGTGCCTTGTCAACCCGGCCCTCGCCGTCCCGCTGCTCCCCTTTCCTACAGAACGACCTGCAGCAATACCATTGACCTGCCGATGTCCCCCCGCACTTTAGATTCATTGATGCAGTTTGGAAATAACGGTGAAGGTGCCGAGCCCTCCTCGGGAGGGCAGTTCGGTGAGTATTTGGTTGGCAGGCGTCCCTGTGAGGGAAGTTGGTCCCCCTGGGGTGACCTCCCGTGTGCAGAGCCGAGCGCTGGTCATGCGGCTTGTAAAAGGGGCCTGAGATCGGCGTTCTCCACCAGCAACGGGCCGTGACGCGCATTTAAGTGTGAATTTCTAGTAGTCACGTTAAAAACAGTGAAAAGGAACAGGTGAGGTTAATTTTAATATTTTCTATTTAGCCCAATAAATCCAAACAGCTGTCATTTCACTGTGTAAGAGGAAAATGGATGAGGCTTCTCGCACTGGGTCTTTGCAGCCTGCCGGGTGTTGGTAGCTGCAGCCCCTCCCGTGTGGACCCCCCCCCCCCCCCCCCCGCGGCTTCAGGCTGCCACTTTCAGTGGGGAGGCCTGGTCGTCTCTGAACATACAGAGTTGCGAGTGACTCAGGTCAGCGGGGACCACCCTTCCAGAGGGCAAGACCCCGTAGAGAGGAGTGTGGATCTGGGCCGTCCGACTGTGCCCCTCCAGGGCGCAGGTGGCCTGAGCCTCCATCCCCCAAAGGGTGAGGGCTGTGCCCTGCTGGCTGGCTGGCTGAAGGGCTCAGGCAACTGACCCGGCTCTCCCTGTGTGTCCCTCCAGAGTCCCTCACATTCGACATGGAGCTGACCTCAGAGTGCGCCACCTCCCCCATGTGAGGCGCCGCGGGAGGACCGGAGCCGCAGAGAGAGACAGGGAGGTGCCTACCTGTGTCCCACCCCCACAGCCAACCCCCCCGGAGCGTCGGAACTCCCAGCGCTGTGGTTCCGGATTTGTCTGAATCTCCTCCTCCTGCTGTCTTTGAGCGATCTGGGCACTTTTTTCAAATAGAGAAATGAATGAATGTGGGTGATATGCTTTTATCTACATGCAAATTAAGAAAGCGTTCTCTGATACTGTGATCGGGGATGTGGAAGGGGCGGCTGGAGGGAGAAAAAGGAAACGCTGTTTCTTCTTTGCTCCCCGGCCCTCCTTTCTCAGCAGCTCGCTAGACAAGTGCCTCTGTGCGCGGCGTCCCTCCGCCGGTCTCCGAAGCTCATGCCACAGGCTGCCTCTAGCTGCGAACCCTGGCATTGCACTTTTAACCTTGCTAATGTCCAAATAAAAGAGAGGACTTGCAAAGCCCCTAGGTTTCTTTTTAAATTAAAAAAATAATAATAATTAAAGGGCAAAAAACATTGTATCAGCATAGCCTTTTCTGTATTTAAGAAAACTCAGTTGATGGCCTCCTTGGTGCTTTGGGCATTTGGCTTTCTCCAGGCTGAGACTTTATATAAACCCTGAAATGGGCTTCAGATCCTGAAAAGATGTCTGGAGCCGTGGTTTGGCCTTTGGTTTTGAAATAGGAAGGTTGAAGGAGAACCTAAACATTCTAGATTAAAAAAATAAACAAACAGGGTTTTTATTTTCCCTTTTATGTGTTGGCCTGTTAGTGGGTCGGGCTGGCCAGAGGGGTGTTTATAACTTGTCCCTCTCCTCCTGGGCTCGTGCCCTTGTTCCAGAGCCCAGGTGGAGCTGCAGGTGCCTTGTAAGGAACGGGATGGTTCTCCTTCCTTCCCCCAGTCCACCTGACCCCCTCGGGTGGCGTGGCTCCTTGCAGTGTCCAAAGGTCCCTCGCCCTGTTTGCTTTAGGACTCCTGGTCTCAGGACTTCCTGGAATAAGAGGGAGAAAGGTAACAGGTTGAACGTGACTCAGACTGTGGGGCCCCAACGAAGGGTCTGGTTGAGCTCAGGGAATGTGGTTCCTATCCCAGTTTTTTGGCGATTGCCTGCACCTGTAAATTACTTCTTCACGTGGCTAAGCCAAGGGCGGAGGCTCAGCCCGTCCGTGTGTGAGGGAGTCGCACCCAGCCGCCCCGCCCCCGACCGTTAACTACCACCTGTCCACTGGGGCCCCACAGCCGGGGCAGAACAGGTCAAATTTACTGTGTCCTTCAGAATACTTAGGAGCGTGGGGGCTGGTCTGTGATGTGGGGGCCCCTCTAGCCAGAGGCGTGGCTAGAGTGGGGCATCCAGAACCACTTTGTATCATTTGGTCAGTGTCTGTAGATGCCCAAATTGGCCAGCTGCTGAATTAAGGGGGTAAGGACCTTCTCTCCAAGACCAACGGGTTGCCTCGGCCTTTCTGCCCTCCTGCCTAGCAGTGGTTGGCACGGAGCCCTCCCCTCGCCAGCAGCACTCTTGTTCATGACTTTGACTCATGAAACGAGGGAAGGTTTAGACCTGTGGCAAGGAGCCGGGCGTCTCTGGAGCAGATGCAGCCAACTCGGCGCTTTGAGGCAGCATTCGTATCTGGTGGGTCTAACTCCGGTCGCAGCCAAGTTCTGAGAGGAGCCGAGACTTGGTCTGCTCGCTCTCTGAAAGAACCAGGTCCTCCAGAAGCTGCCGGTCTTCCCTCCATTGTCCACCCCCGCCTGACCCCAGCCCCACCAAGGGGTTCCCATCGATCGCTTAACCTACTTACACAGTGGTTTGTAAGCTGCTGTTCTGGCCACTGCATCCAATTCCAATGTATACTTCATAGTGTAAAAATTTATATTATTGTGGGGTTTTTTTTTTTTGTATATTGCTGTATCTACTTTAACTGCCCAAAATAAAAATGCATAGGACCTGTCTGATGGTGTGGCGGCTCCGTCTGGCCGGTGGAGGTCCCTCAGACACAGGGCAAGCCTGAGTCCAGAGTCCAGACAGGAGGCTGCGGCCTGGCGTGCGGGGGGGGGGGGGGGTGTCACCCGAGCCGCTCATCCCTGAGCGGAGCAGCCCTCCCCACCTTGTGGTGGTCACCAGCTTCCAGGTAAGGGCTCACTTGGGAGCCAGGGGTCACACTCCTTTGCACAAAGGCGTCAGAGTGGAGACCCCCCTTCTCTCTCTTCCTCCCTCCCTGCTCCCTCCCGGGGCCTTTGCAGCTGGGCCTCCCGTCTGGGGCCTGATAAGCCACCCCAGGCCACCCCCAAGGCCTGCCCTGCCACAGCGGCTCCATTATCACTCACTCTTCAGTCACTCCGTGGGGACAAACTAAACACCGAGCTGGCTGCTGCTCGGCCCGCAGTTAGCGGTGATAATTCACAGACACAGGCGCCCACTCTGCTCGCCCGCCCCCTCCCCCGGAGCCGGGTCCCACGGGCTGATCTGAGCACCGGTGTGAGATATACGAGCCGCCTTCCCCCAGCAGAGATGGAAGCGAGATTAGTTTCGCTCAGGCGGGGCTGGCGGCTGCTTCCCTCCCCGCCCACCCCCGGAGCCCTGCTCTGGGCCCCTGCGCCTCCCAGGGCGAGCTGCCAGCCCCTCTTCCCTCGCTTTGAGCTCCGAAATGCTCTCCCCTCCCCCCCACAGGGGCCCAGGGACAGCCCCTGGACCTTGGTGCCGGAGGGGTACAAATGAGGACCCCAGCCTCCAGCTCTCCTGCGACCCTTTCAGAACACAGTGGCAGCAGCGTGGAGCCATCTGCTGGTCTCTGGGAAGAGAGACTGTTGTGCGGTGACCCTGGCCCCCGGAGCGGGGGTGGGGGGATGGGGGTTGGTGGAGAGTCGCCTCGGCCCTGGGCCTTGGCCACTTCGAGATTGTTCATAGTGGTCACAGTTCTTCCCACCCTCATGTCACCTTCCCCTAGTCATCCCCGCCCCAACCTTTCCCAAGACCTCGAGTCCTAGCCCGTCGGTCTCCTGAGATTCACCGACAGTGTTGGGGTGGGGAGGGGTTGGCGCCCTTAAAGCCCAGACAAGAAGCAGCACGTGACAGGGCCGCCCCTGCAGGACGGAAGGGACAAAGCGCCACCAGGGCTCCCCAACCAGGAGCTTCAAACCAGCCATTTTATGAAAAAAATATTTTATTCAAAAACACTTTTCACAAATGTATGGCCTATGTACAAAGTACAAAAGACTCCCCCTTCTCATCCCCACCTGCCTCCAGAGGTTTAAACCCCTGGCGCCCGCCTGCCCGCAGTCAGCTGCCCCTGGCCTCGGGCCAGGTCTTCTCAGAGGGCGGAGCCCGCGGGGCTGGAGCCCGCCTGCTCCGACCACAGCCAGTTATGCAACTGCACTGAGGCCTCTTCCAGGTTCCACCGCCCAGCAGAGGAGAGGCCGAGATCGGCTCTCGCCCCTGCTCCAGGCCGCACGGGCTCTGGCATCCAGGGGAGAGGCTGAGTTGCTGCTGTCTCTCGCTGCAGGCTTTTTCCTGGATTGGAGGGGATCTGCCCTGCCAGTCCTGGGTGCCCTGTTCACGCACGAGGTCCTGGACCTCTCTTCCCCTCTCCTACCTCTGGTGTAAGCAAGAGAGGCGAGGAAAGAAGTCTGGGGCCCGTGGAAGGGAGGGGATATTAGGTGGGACGCGCTGGAGCGTGGGCAACAGTATTACGCTGGGGGGGGGGGGGCAGAAGGCTGTGAAATGACATACCAAGGCCAGCTTTGACAGGCCCGGCTCAAATGACCCATTTCTGCTGTGTTAGGGACATGGCCATGACCTAGATAAGCTCTCAGTCCACAAAAAGTCTGGAGTCCATAGTCATTAGATAAAGCATGAAGTATTACTCAGAACTGAACCCCCACCCCCTCCTGGGGGAGGAAACAATAGGCCAACTTGGGAGGCAAAGCTTCTAAGTCAGGAGTAAAGCTTGCAGACGTCACCTCTGTTCCCCTTCCTGATCATTTCGTTCGCCTGGCTGCTGAAGAGGGAGGCCCTGGCAGGGTTGGGGGACCTGCCCTGAGTACCCGACATGACAGAAGCAGCTCTGTCGCTTCCACAGGACACAGGCCCAGGGGGCTTTGGGAATAACTTGATCTGAGAAAAAGGTGGCGGCGGCGGCCGCAGCCACACACCCAGGACCACGAAGGCAAGGCGGGCACACCTCTCACACAAACGCACACACGTATGCACGCATGCGTGTGCTGTCTGCAAAGGCACCAATATGCAGAGCGACACTAAAATCACAATGAAAACGAACCCTTCACACGCGTCTTGCTTCCACAGAGAAGTGTGGGGTCCACACACTCAGGAGAGCGAGCCCCTGGCAGAGGTGAAGAGCCCCTCTGGTGGGGACAGGCGGGGGTCCAGACTGTCCATTGGGCGGCGGAGCAGCTCCTCCACGTGCCGGGCTACGTCCATGGTCTCGTCCAGGTCGAATTCTCCATCCTGGTCGAGGACCGGGTCGGGGCTGGGAGAGGGAGGGGGACGTCAGAGGGGGCTGGCCTGCCTCACCGCCACAGGCTCCCGGGGGCCGCCTCGGGCCTGTTCCCCACGCAGACTAGAGTCTCATGGGAACAAGACCAGCACTGTGAGACCCCTGCACCCCAAGTTGCATTAGCCAGTCCCTGGCTCTTGGAGAGGTGCGCTGGTCTCAAGTCTCCCTGCCTTGCTGAGTGATCTCGGGGGTCCACTTTCCTTTCCACATCCTCATCTGCAACTCATGACACAGGGGCCAGCTCTGCCCACCTGTGGCCCATTCCACCAAATCCCAGCACCTTTCCCTGCGCACCTCCCATGACCTGGGCCTCATTACCACCTAATCCAATCCTTCCAGCCACCTGTACGGCAAGCACTTATTTACCCTACTTCACAGAGGAGGAAATGAGGCTGGCCCGTGTTCAGAGTCTTGCTCCGGGCCACCTGGCTGGCGGGAGGAGTCGGATTGAAACTCCTGTCTTTGTGACCCCCAAGCCTACGGTGGTCCCCCTTGTAGCTTGAGCCTCCCAGGCACCCAGACATCCACCGAGGGCCACCCACAGTTCAGAAGAGAACTAATTCTCTACCCTAGGAACTCCACAGAGGAGCAATTAACACCTCATTCCACCTGACTCCTCAGAGCTGTCCCACGGGAAGCCCCTACAGCAGCCTCACGTGCACTGAGTGCTCCACCCACACTCTCCGTTGGTCCCGACCCCAATCCCGTGAGGCAGGTATTCTCGCTCCCATTGTGCAGATGAGAAAATTGAGCATCGGAGAGGCTCCATAATTTTCCCAAGGCCACACAGCTAGTCGGCACCTCAGCGAGGAACCGGCTATGTGCAGTTTCAGAAAGCTCTGTGCTGTTTGCTGCTTGATCTTACCCTCTTTGCTCCTGGGCACATGCCAGAGCCTGGCCTGGGTCGGGTGGTCTCAGACCCAGAGGAGCTCTGTGTTCCTGGCCCACCAGCCCTCCTGGGGTCCAGCCTGAGGCCAGCTGCCCAGTTTCCACCCCCTACCCCACGAAGCCCTGGAAGAACACGACCTACTTCTGGGGGTACATGTTATAATGAGCCTGGGGACACACAGCGGGGGAGGGAGCCTGGTCCATGTAGGTGGCACTGCCCCCAGCGGAGTCTGCAGATGTCACAAACCTGTAGGAGGAAGCAGAGCAGAGCCTCAGCGGCCTCGGGGCAGCAGTGGACTTGGGGAGGGGCCCCGGGGGCACCTGTAGGTCTTTTTCGGGTGTAGGAGGACCACCCGTCCACGGGGCCCGGGGCTCCAGCTGCAGGAGTGGGGCCCTGGGGACTGGCCTCGTGGTGACCAAGCCCAGTTCCCGCCCCGGGGCTGAGCCAGGTTTTAGGGGGAGGGGAACGCTGGGCCCCTGAATGGGAGGGGGCGGTGGTGAGGGGTGAGGACAGCCAGGGGAGGAGAGAGGCGGCAGGAGACCAGGGCTGACCACTTACTCGGGGACCACTTGCTTGATCTGTGGCTTCACGTATCCGTCCCCTGCTTTACCTGCCGAGGGGGAAACGGTGATGAGAACCAAAGCTTCTGGGAGCTTGCCAGGGAATGGAGGCCCCACCCCATGGAGTCTGCCTCCCACCCACGTCACTGAGGGCCACAGCGAGGATGAGATTTCCCCGGGGCCCTGAACGAGCACCCGCGGACTAGACCGGCCAGAGGGCTACCCAGATTCCCATCTGTCCTCCCGCTTCCTCTTCTGGCCCTTTGCTTTCCTTCTGCCCACTCCCACCCCTGCCGAGGATACAGAATCACTACCAACAAGCACACCTGACCCGTGGATAGGGCACAGGCTGAAGAAGAACCTGTCCACTGTGCTCCCTACACTGAAGCTGGGGGCAGGGTGAAGGGCGGGGAGTGGAGACGGTGTGGACGGAGGGGAGCGTCGTGGGCTCTCTCTGGGTTAGAATTACCCAGGCCGCTCCCCCAGCACGGCAGCCTCTTCTTCCAAGGGCACAGAAGTGAGAGTCCACCCAGCTTTTTTTTATGCAGAGAAGAAAGTAGACTCAGAGGTTTCTCTTTCCTTCTCCTTACTTGTGAGCCCTGAAATCTTTTCCACGTGTGCTTTGCACCATCCCACGACCAAAGCCCAAGGGGGACTGGCCACTGGGCTACATTCCCGGGGAGTCCCCACCACGTAGCCTGAGCATGTGTCCTGGGGCTGAGGGGTTCTCGAGCACCAGGGCAGGACGCACCGATCACGGGAGTGTAGTACTTGGAGAAGACCTCGTCCTTGGGCCGGTCGGGGAACACGTAGATGAGATAACTCAGGTCCCCCAGCCGGTCGGCCAGGGACCGGATGGAGAAATCCCGTGTGGTGAATGGCTTCAGGTTCCACAGGTTGCGGTCAGCTGTGAAAAGGACAAGCTTGTTCCCATGACCCGCCACCGTCAGGAGGAGGACCAGGGTGGTGGGGGTTTAGGGCGGGCTTGCG